TGCCAGCCTCTTGTTGGTTAGTCTGGTGTTCTCAATGAGTCAAGGCTGCTTGAGTGCAGTTTACCACCAGTGTAAGGTGTTAAAAGTAGTTTTAGAATCACAGGAGTCTGTATGTTCTGGATCAATGTGACACAAGCTTTCATTGCAGCAAAGCCCTGGAATGTCATGTCTGGTGATAGAGGTTTCTGAATATTTCCGTCTAGAATTTGTGTTTATTTGTTGGTATTCTATGTGTGGCACAACAATCTGAGAGGATTAAGTCCATATATCCTCAAATTTTACCATTAAACTGCTTTGGACATTGTGAGAATGAAACCCTCCAGGCAGCTCATGTGCTGTTCAGATTTTGCAGCAGATGTGTAAGACCCTCAGTAATGAAGAGCAGCTGTAACTGTTTCATAGCCATAGTGTTTAAAGCAAAGCTCTACATCTACATTGTATGTCACAGGAACAGTAATAACTCAGTAATGTGGTGGTATTATTATTGTTGTAATAATACAAGGTTGTCCCATAAATAAACAAGAGTAGAGAAATAAAGGATCCCGGAAAATAGATATTTTCCAGCTTTGTTAGAGGTGTTTGTGCAGCAGCTGTGTGGGGCAGCTCTTTTCTGCGGCTGTGAGACACAATTGATCAATTGATTGATTGAGCATTTAAGGTCTTGGATCGTACCAGGAGTGCCCTGGGACTGAGCCCACAGAGCCGAGCTTTTAAAGCACTCCCCAGTGCAATCGGACCGCAGGGCTGACTCGCGGGCACTGAGCGTGGCAGCCTGCTGCAGCTGTCCTCTGGAGAACACAGGCTGACGGAGGAGGCCGATTCCGGTTGAGGCCCGGTTCTGAAAGGCGCAGAGGCCCGGTTCTGAAAGACGCAGAGGTCCGGTTCTGAAAGGCGCGGTGTGACGGCTGCCGAGAGAGCTCCAGTCAGCTCAATGGGCTCTTGTCGCAGTGCTGCAGTGCCTGTTCTGACTGGAATCTCAATCAGCAGGCTGGGGCTCGGGCAGAGCGGCACTCGCGCCACCCTCTCGGGCAGGGCTTGGGCAGCCAGACAGGCTGGCCTTTTTAAAACAAACAGGCCAGTTTTATTGAATTTCTTCCTTTTCTTCCCTCAAGAATGGCTCTCCTGGTAAAGACAAGGCTTCAAAAGAGACGCCGTACAAGGTAAACGACCAATGACCTCAATGTTTTAGATCAGGGTGGTGATGATGCAAGAAAAGTTGTTCCAGACTTTTTTCTTT